TTAATAATAACTAACGGTGTTATTTTAAACGTGAGAATCTGAAATAAATGCAACTAGGGGTATCAACTTAAGATTTTGCTAAACCTCGGCTAGGAATATATTGTTTACTCTATGTATCTAATATCTCATGTATAATCTACACGCTATAAACTTCAAGACTTTCATATTAAAGATTAAATTTCATCAACAAAGAAGATGAACCAACTATATTAATTTTATACGTCCAAAAAGATTAATTAATATATATTTGGCCAATGCATTTTAACTGTAATATAATTTGTGACATCTATAAGCAATGTTAACTTGTTTAATTTCTTATCTTCTTAAATATATGTGCATGTTTTTGTACGTTTTGTTTTAGTATAACGTAGTGCATAAAAATAATTGAATTTTTAATTGAAAATATCTTTGAGACTTTTGAAGTAAGTGATCTTATGGGCTTAATTAATTAATTAATTAATTAAAAAATGATTAGAATTTAATAATTAGGGTTTCAAGGTAAGCTCATCATCATAATTGATCGGATAATTTATAATCAATAAAATATTTAAGCAGTATTTTGTTGGATTCATCTCATTGTGATAAGATGATATTTTATAATTCAGATCCAATGATTACGTGGACGTCATGATTAGAGAATTATATGTTTTTTATAAAATGAATATAAAAATAAAAGTAAATGGGTATATTAATATAATCCCAAAATTGGAAAAAATATTTTTCTTACTGTTTTCTAAAAAGTATTTTGAATTTTCTTTTCTTATTTAGTATGGTATTTAAAATTGGAAAAAATTACTAATCATGTTTTTGGTTCTTTTTAAATTCCAAAATCAAAAACCGAGATTGAAAAGTACTAATTTTATTTTTTTAAATTTGTTTTTAGGAAGTGAATTTTTTTTTTATTAGGAAATTATACCACAAATTAAAATTCAATTTTATGTGGATAATACTTTATATCTCAAGTTTTTATCCTAAGTGTTACGTCATTAATATTAAGTTGATTAATAATTAATATAGTGATTAATATGTCAACAATAAAAAGGGTGCAACGTAAGTGTTTATGGCCACTTTAGTCATGGAAGCCCAATGCTACAATCAAAGACTCAATTAGGATGCAACGTCGCGAAAAAAAAAAAGCTTTAAGGCTCCACTTTGTTCAAATGACTGCTTCTTAGGACCTTGAATAAGATCCGTGACATTTTCTAAATGTAGCCCAAGACACCCTCAAAGATAAGCTGATGACATTCTTGGAATATAAGCCTAAAACACTCTCAAGAATGTAAGCCTAAGACACTCTCGAATAATAAGCCTAAGAGATTCTCTGAATATAAGCCGAAGACACTTTTAAAGTTAAGCTCGTGACATTCTCTAAATATAAGCCTTAGACACTCTCACATGCAAGTCCATGATGCTCTCATAGATAAGCTCATGACACCCTTTATACTAAGCCTATCATATGATGTCACGTTTTACAAAACTTATCATATGATGGGGACATACTATTTTACAAAGCTCATTATGTGATGACACACTATTCTCAACAAAGCCCATCATATAATAAACATCTTTTGTTTCATGTTCACTCTAGTCCAAAGGATCTAGACATATCCTCTCGCAAGCCTTTTTACAACATAAGGCTCACTTCATTCCAATAGAAGAATCTAGCATGCTCCGCAAGCGACAACCTACAACAAAACACTAATTTAAGCAAGAGTAAATTCAATTCACATTTCCACTAGAGGTTTACCCTAGTTGCATTTATTATTTGTGTTGAATTTAGAAAGTGGGGAATGATGGAGAATGGGAAAAGAGAATCTTGGCAATGACAACAACCTTTATCACATTCACATGCAATCTTTGATTGGTCCTTTCTTTTTCCATACACGCATTCATTTCGCTTGCTTCTCTTTTTCTTCATTATAACCAGTGTTTTAGAACCCGATCCGACTCAGTAGATTGAACCAATTAAACTGAGACGCAAGGCTTTCACCAGACTGTGTTATCAATTTTTCTATTACTCAAAACTTTAGAAATTTTGGATGATAATTGGTAAATAATTAAAGTCTGGGATGTTGGGATTTTTGAAGAAAAAGGGTCGATGAATGTCATGGTAGCCATGGAGGTGAGTGAATCAGTCACTTCAGTGGGCAATTCTTCTGAGTTACAATTTGATAATATTTCTTTGAATTAGACCTATGAGGCCTATGAAGGCAAAATGTTTCTTTGAACTAGACCCGCCTGAGGGTACCTAATCGGAAATTTCGGTTTAATAGGTGTGAAAGCATTGTTATCAAAAACCCAAGAGAAAAAATACTTTTAAAATTTCAAAAATCTCTCATAAATCATTTTGGTCATAAGACATTATTCTCTACTGGTAAGAAAAAATACAATTCACCCTTTGGAGGCTAAAATCTAAAAATAATCAGAAATACCTCTAGGCACATTAGGATCTGATTTTTCCAGATTTCTTATTTTTCCATGTATTAAAACACCTACAAAGATATAGTTTCAAAATTCACATTTTTATCGCATGTACCTTTTTTTTAATGATTTTTCCAATATGCTCTTTTGACGTTTTTACGTTCTTTGTGATTTCAATTTCAAATCTCTCTTGGGCATGACCAGAGCCTTCCAATCTACTAAAATCCCTTCATATGTTTTATTTTCACTAAAACCATTTTGATTCATTCAATTTTGCATAAAAACCCTTAAAGATATTTCAATAAAATCTCTTGTCCTATTTATTAAATGCTTATATTTTTTCATTAGGAGATAAATTATTTCCAACTTTATTTCTCAATCTCATCATAAAAAAATATTTGAATTTCGAAGTAATTATTTTATTCTTGACTGATAAGTCGAGAAGGTGATTAAGTACTAAGGTATTACCAAACAACTCTTGAAAACCTAACTGGAAAACTCTGTACAAAGTCATTTATACAAAGTGACGTGGTAATATTGTTGTATTGGCACATCATTCACTATCATTTAATATGTATTTATTAAGTTAATTTTTATATTAATTTATTTAATTATATTTTGACACGTCTTTTTACATAAAAGACTTTGCATAAAGCCTTTATAAGTTTAGTATTATTAATCCTGTTTTATTCCTTTCGTTTTATTAACTCCTAATATGTGTGTATTTATTTAACCATTAATAACAACTCTGATAATTTGTCATTATAGTGATTGGCTACTGATAATTGTAAATTGAGAAGAAAGAAAGCCGCAAAATAACAAATCAAGCCCATTAATGAATAATACAAGAAAGCTACAAACTATGTCAAAACTACCCTTAAGTTTTCATAAATTATATATAGATGACAAGTAGGAGTACGAGGGTATTATTCATAAATCACCCTTATGTTTTCAAAACTAGTTAGTTTGCTCCCGGAGCGAACGCCGTTACATTTTCCTTAACAATTGAGGGTAAATTGATTATTTTGTCCTCAATTATCTATTTGTTGAAAATGAAAAGAATAAGAATAATAGACTAAAGGCAAAACGACCATTTTAATTAGCCAGTGTAATACTTGCTCTTCTCTCATTTTCTAAAATCAGTTCTCACCCCTCTATTTACAGGTAATAAATGAGGTGTTTATTTTGAATAAAACTCATATCTTTATTTTGTAATAGGACATACATTCCTAGAATAGTAGAAAATAAAAACTTCTCTTGCTATCTTGGGTAAGAAGATAATTTATTAATACATGTATATGTATACTGGTATGTCCAAAACGATTTATTTATATATATATGGTCAAAGCATTTTAACTATAATATAATTTCTGAATCTACAAACAATTTTAACATCTTGGATTTCTTATCTTCTAAAGTACATCTTCATGCTTTGCACGTTCTATTTCTATACATTGAAGTACATAAAAATAATTGAATTATTAATTGAAAATATCTATAGACTTTTGAACAAGTGATCTTTTCGGCTTGATTAATTAATTAAAATTTTATTAGAATTGAATAATTAGGTTTTAAATGTAAAACATTAAATCATATAATTTATTAATAGGATAAATAAGTAGTATCTATATATGTGACATAATAATGGTTGATTTATTAATTAAATTGTGAGTTGTAGACCAAGAGGAAGCCCTTGATATCATTCTTTTCTTTCTTAATAGGGATATTATCTTTGAGCGTATATAAGTTTACGGAATTATCTATCAGAGGATGCAACTTTCAGAAATATCAATAAAAAAGACACGTAACGGTGTTTGATTGTTATACTTAATTGTACAATCACAAAATCACACAAATACCCTAAAATTTGAAAACAAAATTAAACAAACAAATTATTTGAATAAAAATATTTTTAATTCCATTACTTTTTTTAGTTTTACAGTTTTTTGTATTTAATTTTTTTTATTTGTTTTTAAATTTTCGGGATATTTATGTTATTTTGTGGTCAGACAATTAAATAGCATGGTCAAACACTGTTAAGTGTCCTCTAATTGATATTTTTGAAATATGTGTCCTCGAAAATAATTCGGTAAACTTTATGTACCCTCAAATAATATCCCTTTTTAATGTGTTTTTGAGAAATGAATATAAAATTAAAAGCAAGAAAAGGGTATATATTTTAAAAATTTGGAAAGTATTTTTATGTAAAATTTTATGAAATAGTATTTTGATTTTTCTTATCTAAAAAAAGAATAAACATGTTTATATGACATTTTAATCAAGTATATATTAATTTTATTTCATTTTGAACATATCTATTGCTTTACAGTAGTAAAATTCATCACCAAAGCTCATTTGCCAAGTTTCATTACAAAAAAAAAAAAAAAAAAAAAAAAAAAAAAAATCCTTGAAAGAAAAAGAGTAAAGCAAAATTACCACATAATCTTTCAATTTTTGACATGTATGACTTATTTTTATCACTTGAAAAAGTCCGTACAAATATGCATTTGGCGAGTATAATTTTTCGATTTTTAACATATATGACTTATTTTTACTATTAGACAGACGTAAAAGTTCATCTTATATAACTTATAAGATGGATTAAAAGAGGCATGTAATTTTAGAAGACAGGTGTAAGATTATTATTCAAAGGATTTTGTTGGTCGGTCGTCTTCATTTCCCTTGTATAAACGATACTTCTTCAGCTAAACTTCTCTATTGGAAAGCCAACTGAATGGAACAGCAGCTGCTTGGACAGCCCTAGCTCGAGCTCTCTCCTCCATCTTCCTCAACCTATTTGGCAATGCACAAACAAACTGTTGGGCCATTTGTGCTTCACTTGTGAGCCCTACAAGTTTCTCAACATTCCAAAAACTCACTAAATGTTCCAAAATATTAATATAATCCGTGGCCGTGTAGACTCCAAGTCGCGTAGCAACATTAGAATAGTGATCGAACAGATTCATATCCTGACCGTCGAACATCAATTGGCCAGGCATTGCGATCCTATATTTCAACATATCGGCAAACGCCACCATTGTACCATCAGGATCAACCTCAAATAGCTTCCCGACAATCCTGCTATAAGCGGTTTCATGGCGCTTTTCATCGGCTGCGATCGTGCCACAGATTTTAGCAAGGGTTGAGTCTCCATGTTGCATGGCAAGTCTAGCTGTGTTGCCATGAGATATGAATGTTGCTCTTTCTTGAAATGATGTATAAATTGACAAATGGTAAGGGTTTTCTCCAAAGCCAAAGTTCTGTTTGGGAAAAATATGAAAAATCAGAATTCAACAATGACAAATTATTTAGGATATTCTTAACTATTCTTAGTAAAATAACAAATCAGACCAGAGTAGGATGTCTGTAAGAGGATCTTACCATTCCTGTACCAATTAAATACTGAATAGTCTTCTCAACTTGTTTCATGTCAATTCTTCCTGAAAGATAGAGATACTTATTGAGAAGATCTCCATGGCGATTCTCTTCGGAGCTCCAAGCTCTAGTCCAAATCGCCCATGGAGTGTCGTCTATGCCGCTTTCATCATGATATATTTCAGTGCCATTGATTCTTGACTGATACGTTGGAAGAGCTTCTTCTGTGATCATGTTACCAACTAAAGAAACCAAGCAATCGTCAGGAATTTCCTTTGTTCTCTCCCTCAATTCAATGATCTGTTCAATGAATCCGTCCGACTCCGAATCCGGAAGCATGTCTGTAGGTTGCCATGATTTTTCAACAGGTTTTAGTAGGGGCAAAATGCTGTCTCTTGCCCAACCCTCCATGGATTTGAATATTTCAACCTTTTCCGGGGCCATGGAATTGGCATAGGATAGTTTCTTGACCTCTTTTACCTCTCTGAAATGGAAATTAAGAAAGTGAGTAATGCTGAGTCAAGTATCACATTACTGTAGATCTCAACTAGGTAAGTGCAACATATATTATGATAAAATAAACTTGATTATCTAAAATATTAATAATACCAAAGACAGGATTAATACAAGTAAATAAATAAAAATAGTCATTAATAAGCTTACTTAGAACCAGGGTAGACGGTTGAAGCCATTGAAAACTTGGAAAAGCTAAGAGTGGTTGCCATCTTTTGGAAATCAAACGAAGCCTCTGCTTCTGTGTGAATGAGAACCCTTGCAATTTCTATGTATATATAGCATAAGTTGGAGCTATTATTGCTTTATTGGCCAGGGTGGGTCAATGCCTTCCTTGGGATTATAAAAAAAACTGCAAATCAAAGATTCGATTAATTGACATTAGATACACGCATGTTAAATTTCTAAATACACGCATGTTAAATTTCTAATTTAAGGAAAGGTTACTAAAATGGTGTTTGTCAAGAAGAATTAGATTACGATATCTTTGACACAATTATTAATCTAACACTAATAGTAAAAATACTCTCAATTTTAGTTTAAGGTTTATCTTTACATGAAGGCAATGATTAATAATGTTATCCCTAAAATAAGGACTAACCTATGGTGATGTCTTCATGTATCAATCAGATTCAAGAAATCATTCCACCGTCCAGAACGTGACACGTCTCCACAAGCAAAAGGAATATAGCTGTCAAAGACCCAAACTATCATGCCTGAGTGAATTTGGTTTGCACACATGTCCAAGCTTTATTTAATTTAAGGATATTTTTTAAGTTCTCAACGAATGGGAAGTCAGGAGGGATCTTCATAGCAGTAGGCCACTTGCAAAAATGTAATCATCACCTTGAGCTAAATGGGTATAGATAGACAGCTTCCCCTTACAAAATCGAGATCAGACATTCACGTATTCAACAAAAAAAATAGCAAAGACACACTATTAGAAAGAGATTGGCTTGACATTCTCTAAGAACACCAAATACTAGTAATCTCATATCACAGTTCGTAACCTTTTGTAAGCTTGTCTAGCAATAAGAAATCACTTTATAAAAATCAAACATAGTTGGTGTAGGATTCGCTTTAAGCATCTGAACTGCTATGAAAACTATCTTATCAACTTTATATTTATGTCTTTGCATGTTACTGTGCTTACAGTATCTCGCCCACTTGATATAATCAGTTCACGTGTGATTTCTTAACATTTTACACGTGTGAAGTGTTGGTGTTAAAATCAAGCATCAACAAATAAGTATACATTTTCGAGTGTTTAATAAATTTTAGAGACATTAAAATAATTTTACTGTTGAATAAATAATTAAACATGTAATACTTTTTAAACTGTGTTTAATATTAATTTGACTCCAACAAAAATATCAAAAATCCTCTTTTTTGAACCGTGATGTGTTAAATGTTTAATCGACTCCTCTAAAAATATTTAATTTCATCCTCTTATAAATGTTGTTTGGTACTTTCTTAACTTTGCGTGTATTTAATATTAATCAAACTCTCGGGCATGATGAAGCAAACCCATCATAAAAATAGAAAAAGATAGTTGTACACTACTAGTACAGTTTTGTATTGTAATTTATAGCCAAAGAAAATTTATATATTATACACACTACGATTTTTTTTCTATTTACAAATAGCATATCAAACTTGCTTATTCTTTTTTTCTTTTTCCAGAAATATTATATTCCCAATATAGAATATTCTATATCTAGATCTCCATTTTCTTGCTGCAATTTAATGTTAAATTCATTTCTTAAAGTACTTATTAATTATTAAGATAATGATCTTACATTGATTACTATCAAGTTGTAATAGATTTTTTAATCATGCCCAGTAGATCACATATTTTAGAAGTCTCATGGATATCATGTCCAATAGTCAACCATTTTCTGAATTTATTTTAAAATTAAAAAAAATGACAAAAAATTTTATATAAAGGAAAGGACAACCATTTTTATTTTTAATTTTAAAAAATTAAAATATAAAATCAAAATAGTTTTGGCGTCCTAGCCAGATTAAGGCCGCACCATCCTAGCTTTGGCGTGGCCTCGATTTGGCCATGGCAAGATCGAGGCCACTCTAAAACGATAGCTTCGATCTAAACAGGTTGGGTCAGATCTTGACCAACGACATTGGCCCCTTACCGACTACATCGCTGGCCTTAAAGAAAGCCAACAACTTTCCTTTTTTCTTTTTAGTTTTTTAAATATTTATTTTCTTTTAAAGCTTTTAAACATGTGCCAGCATTTTATTAGATAAAATTATTTGAGTATGATTTTTTTTATTTTCTTTTAATTTTCTTATAATTTGTACACTTATTAATTTGTCTTCGTTTCCTAGTAAATGTAACTTCAACTAATAGCAATATTAATTTTGTCCGTCAACAAAGATTAATTTTTATATATATATATATTTGGTCCATGAAATTTAACTATAATATAATTTCTGAATCTACAAGCAATGTTAACTTGTTTGATTTCTTATCTTCTAAAATACATGTTCATGCCTTTGCAAGTTTTGTTTCAATATACCGAAGTACATCAAATGATCAAAATAATTGAATTTTTAATTGAAAATATCTGTGAGAGTTTTAAAATAAGTGATCTTACTGGCATGATTAATTAATTAAGAAATTATTAGAATTTAATAAATAAGGTTGCAAGGTAAGATCATTATCATAATTCATCTATTTAAGTAGTGTTATGTTGGATTCATCTCATTGCAATGAGGTAAAAGCCAGATAAATCTTTGAATATTTTATTAGTAGAAATTTTATAATAGTTTAATTTGAAGGTGTTATTATTTATGTTGACTTAATAACTTGTTTATTAATAAATTTTCTTAATTTTGTTTTACACTGTAATAGCCACTACTACTCAAAAGCTTATAATGAAATATATATAAAATAAAATCAAGAAATTGGGCCCAAAATTTTCTTTTATTAAACGTATATATATATTTTTTACAAACATATACATTTTTACACAAAATGTATAACATATACAAAAGTCATCAAAAACATAAGGGACAGTGTAACCACTCCTTCTCGAACGCCGACATCCATCCGACAGTGTCCTCACCTAGGTCCTGCAAAACATAGGAAAACAACGGGGTGAGCACTAAAAATAATGCCAGTAGTAAATCCCTACTGCTATCCCCTTAACTCTCTCTCTAATTCTTTCCTTACAACTTCTCTTCAATTTCTCTTTGGGTACTTCTTTCTTGCTCTTTCTCTTAGAACTTTTTCTCATAACTCTTTCATAAATCACGACCCCATCTTACCGGGGCACGGCCGGGACTCCGCTCCCACTCTACGTGACCTCTACTCATTCTAGCCGATCAGACTTGGTTATGCATGGATTCGGAACCCTTGGCCATGTGAGTCTATAATCTCTCTCTCTCGGTCTCTCGGTATAGCCCTCATCCGCATGCACTCTCACGGGCTACACCACTTCTCTATCTGATACTCATGCCGCTCTCTCAATGCGGCGTACTGCGGGAATACTCTAACCCATTACCTCAGGGTTCCCCATCGCACAACCTACTCTATTCTCTTTCTCTTAACTCTTAAAGTAGCTTATACTCACATTCTCCACTATATCTCAAGCTACATCTACTGCTTAGTGCATAAACAATTGTGTAGAACTAGCTCATGCTCACTAATGCACTAATGAAATGCCAACTACAAGATTTCCTCAAACCGTTTATTCTGCACAGGTCACACTAAAAGACCATAACTTTCGTTATACACCTCTGATTGTTACGGTTCTGGTCTCGTTTCAAAGCTTAGAAACAGGGCTACAAATTCTATGTTTTGATCTCAGCCCAGTTCAAACCGTAATCTACCCAAAATCACTTGAAAGTTACGGCAGTGACAGGGCAGATTTCACTTAGGCATTTCATCAAACAACTCATATGCATAAAATACTCTACTAAAATTACTACTAAACTTCATTTTTCTAGCCATCCAAAATGGGAAAACTCCCTCAAATACTCATAATCCCTGTCAAGAAAAGCACTCCCAAAAGGTTTCACTACATCTCTCAAACTTCATCTCAAACTCCATTCTCATTACACATTAAAACACTTCTCATATATGGGATCAATCCAAACTACAAAAATAGCTACTCATCTCAACTCAATTTTCTCATAAATCATACTACATACTGATCATGCATACATCTCTACACAAAAAGCTTGTTTAAAACTCAAGTTGGTTGGATTTACTTACCTTGTGCAAATGACTTCTTTAGCACTTTTCCTTCCTTGTGTGGTCTTGTCTCCTCTTTACCTCAAAACAACCACAAGGACAGCAACAACCTAATAAGACTTCACTACAATTATAAAAACTCAATCTAAAGCATGAATCCTTACCTTAGGATCCTTTAGATGAAATCTCTACTCAAAACCCCTCTTAATCCCTTGAAATCTTGGAAGAATGGATGGAGAAATTGAGAGAAAATGGCAATGGAAGAGGCGGTGGAATGAAGAAATAAAGGGTTTCTCTACCTTAACACCTTTTTATGTTCATATTATAAGCAATCATTCCCATTTTGTTCCTTGTGCAATTTTTACGAAATTCCATCTATATCCTTTGATCTACACTTCTCACAACTCAACACATCCAACTCTCTACTATACTATTCCTTTCATTTTACTCCCCACTTTTCCTACTAATTAGGGGTAGAATGGTCATTGTGTCCCAAAGAAGAATTCTCTAGAAAACTCAAGAAACTTTCTTAGGCTCGTCGCTGCGGCGAAGCATTTTTCGTCGCCTCGGCGAAACAGGGCAGAACCTACCGGAGTGCAACTCCTCCTCCTCGCCGCGCGGCGAAGCTTATTCTTCGCCCCGGCGAAGATGAATTTCCAACTTCATCAAAACTCAACCAATTTCAAGGCAACAATTCAACCAACTCAACATACAACTCAATTAAAGTTGAAACAATAAACTTTTAACTAATACACAATCTTAACACGTACCTCAAGTGGAATATATCATCACTCATTAAAGTATTATAAATTTATCCCTATCGTCAAATATAATCATAAATATTATTATAAAGAGCATTAAAATAAATACTCATATTTTTATATAACTTATACTCAGTATATTATTTATTAAATTTATTTCAATTTATTATTAAGTTTAATTAATCCTGACCCCCTTAGAATGAGTTTCGGCTACCCCCTGTCCATATCATTTTTTTTTTTAGTGTGTG